GTTTCTGTTGTGACTGGTTTGTTTTATCAAGTAAGGTTAAGTTTCATTGGTAATCAGGGGTTTGGAATATGCAAGTCTTGGAGTTTGAGAGAATTATATTCCACAGTTCAGGAAAATCTACAGGGATTCTATTTCTACATAAGATGAACATGGGCTTGTGATAACTGAAGGTAATGTGGAGTTTTGGTTGTTATATGTCTGTGGGAAAACCTTAATGATATGCATATGATTTGTTATTATATGACCGTAAATGACCTGTAAAGATCCTGAGCCATTTGGTTGCTTTTGAGCGGTATTGATTGCTAGGGAAATTCAAAGAACCAATGTCGACTGCGGCTCATAGCCTTGTGAATTTCTTCTAGAATAAGCAAAACCCTCATGCCAATGTGGATGCACTTTCAATATCGGAATAAAACTTCTCACTGTATTTTAATCCTTCATATTTTCTTTGTTTCTCAGTTTACGTTTACAACTCAAATGATTTGTTGAATTTTGCTTGAGTTAGCTTATGATATGACTGATACTTGCAAGTAAACTTCTCATTGGTTTTATTTTGCTTATTTGATGTGATCAAAATTTCCATGAAATAAAACCCTATTCGACAAGTGTGTGTTTCCGACTTTTTCACTGTAGAATTCTGGTCTTGGAGCCCACGGTCTTCCTGTTTATTTAGCATTCTTCCTCTATTCTGATCAAATTAGTTAGTAATAGGATATCTGAACGGGATCGACGCATAATCTGATCGCTGTTGATTTACTGGATTCTGCTTTCCATAATCCTTGAATTCGTCACTGACACACTGTTGATTCACTGATACACTGCCAATTGTTGTATGATGCATTCGACTTGGTAGCAGTCAAGTCACATTTGGGAACAAATGGTCCAGTCTTATGCTTTCTAGGGGTTGTTTCTTTACTTGAAATAACCATCATTGTTTAGTAAAACCCCATTTTAGATTCTTTAATTTCTAGTGTAAATATTGATGATTTCTTGTTTATTATGAAGGGGGAATGGTCTTTTCCTATTACAGGCTCTTCCTTGTTTTAGGTGTTTCAAAAACTGAACTATTGTTTGATGTTACAATTTCAAGTAAAACACTTTGTAACTTGGATTTGGATTTGGGAAGTTTGGAAACTTGGATTTGGATAAAAACCCCTTTACCTTTTTACAGGTTTTTATGGGACTTGTAATCCAAATCCAAGTTTCAAGTAAAACACTTCCATAAATTTGAAAATTGTAACAGCGTGTCCATATTCTGTTACTAAGTTTCCTTAGTATTAACCTTTTTACAGGTTTTTATGGGACCAAATTAATTAGCATAAAAACCCCTTTACCAACTAGATATAAAAAGTGGCAACAAGATATAAAATGTTACTAAGTTGTAAAAATGAGGCCGCTTTGGTCGCGAGTTTTGAGCGTGAAATTATTAAGGGATTTTCGCATATATAACCCAGAAACCTTCCATATTTACAAATTTAAACCCCCAGCCCCACCCCCCCCAAAAAAAATGATAATTTAGCAGGCTTTTATGTATCATAGAGCTCTAGGCACAAATCAAACGAACTTACATAAACCAAACCGTGAGTTTCCCTGACCAAATGGCTAAAAGAGGTGAAGCATTGCAGGAAGCAAAATAGAACAAAGAAATTGATTCTGAAAATTATTGCTCAAACAATTCATTGATAACCGAGCAAATGTACACTTGCAAAACAATTCCCTCCATCCAATTCGGCCCATGATTCCTTATCATGGATTTTTTTTTTAATTATTATTCAAACAAGAGGTCCCCGCGACGCGACCTCAAACCAATCTCAAACAAATCATAAGATGGAGCTCATCAATAAAATGAGAACAAACTTGCTTCAACTTCTGTGGGAGAAAAATGAGATCGAACTAGCACGGTGGAAGATCCATTGGAGGCGGCAAAATGGATTGATCAGGCCCATTTCCATTTTCTACAACAAAAGCCATCTTCAGTCCCCACATAGTGTGCAACTCCAAATGACAGTGCATGAACCAAACACCTGATATCAGACATTCAAAATTAAGAAATTTCGAGCAGATCGGAAATGTTACGATTTGAATCGAGTTTTATGTTACTCGCACCTGGATTATCAGCTCTGAACCTTATCGCGGTCCAACCACCTGCAGGAACTCCCACAGTGTTCCTTTCTGGGGGATCGACCAAGTTGAACTTAGCCGGGTCTTTCGCAGGATCGAAATTACCGACTCCCCTCCCCACGACGAAGAAGTTGAACCCGTGGAGATGGAAAGGGTGGGATTCGACGGTGAGAAGATTTGTATCTTGAAGCACGAGCTCGACAGTCGAGTTGAAAGCCAGTTTGCTAAGTCTAGTACCGAGCGAAGTTCCCAAGTTGGCTGTCAGGGGAGCTCCAGTGTAGTTGAATGGTGCGGGTGGCTTGTCGGGGAAGTCCAATTTGAAAACTCCGTTGATGTTGAAGTAATGTGCTTGAAGCAGTCCAATCTTGGGCATCACAAAGGTGACGTTGTTAATGGATGCAGTTAGCTTGGTGCTGTTGAGGCAAGTGGGGCACGGGTCTCTTCCAAGGCCGACAGTGAAGAAGAGATGACGATCGATTGTGAGAGGGACATTAGCAGGGAACTGCGGTGTGTTGAGACTCCGAAGACTGTTAGAATAAGTGTCGACGAATGAAGTGTCATTTTGTGCTGGAAGTTGAGGCAGGACCGGGATGACAGTATCCGGAACGCCTTTGTATTGGAGAATAGCAGTCGCAGTTTTGTTGTCGACAGGGATGGGAGCGTCGTTGAAATCCCTGGCGGCCATGAAGTATCTGCCAGGAGCTTGGTTGGCAGTCACAAGAACGTTTGTGGTCTGACCTGGGGTAATCAGGATAGCACTGGTTGTGAAAGGCTTGCAGTAGACGGCGTCGATCTCCACCACCGTCATGTTATGGCCCGCGATGGCGAAGAAGAGCTCGTCGTTCAGGGCTGCGTTGACGATTCTCAAGAGGTACGTCTTTCCCCATTCGACTTCAGTAACGAAGGTATCTGAAAACAACAGAACAACAAGTAGATATATAGCTTTTAGCTTCACCTTTATGTTTACAATATAGAGAGTGTTTGGGCGAGTTTATTTTTAGAAGCTTTTAGGCTATTTTAGCTTTCGATCGCTTTTGGCTTTTGTGATAAAATATTCTATAAAAAATTGTACGGTAGAATGTTCATTTGCTTTGTCATACTCTGGTTTTTTAAAAGTTAGGGATCCTAACTTTATTAAATGAAACTTAAAAGCTAGATTATTTGGGATGTAACCAAATATATATAAATATGAAAAGGCTGGCTTGTAAGTTTGTACGTTTATCTGAACAGGGGAAAAGAGGGCCAGGCTTTCCATTGATCGTGTGGGCATCAGACATATTAGGTGGCAAACCAAGTGCATTGCCTTGCTTCACCAGCTCTTCAACATCAGAATTCCACCATTCTCCTACACAATATCAAATCAAATATAAGCAAACACATGGAATTTTATTCAAGAACAGTAAACAACTTCTATCGAATGTTTTTTTTTTGCCAGTAAAAACATCCTTTTAGTTCTGCTTTTCTCACCTAGGACCAGCACTGATTCACCATGGGGTTGAGGGAACGGGAAAGGAACTCCTTGCTTTGGCATGATGACGATCGCCCCATGAACCGTCGCTCGCAGCCACAGTATGTGAGCATGCCACCACAACGTCCCTCTCTGCCCTGTAACATTGAAGTCATAGCTGTACGAGTTGCCACTCTGGATCGGACATTGCGTAATGTAGGCTGGACCATCAGCCCATCCATTCCGAAATTGTTTCAGTCCGTGCCTGCATTAATTCATGTTAATTCGAAGAACATACGTCGCTTATTTGGGCTTGTTATAACGAGAGTGAAGATTGATCAAAGTAATTTGACACGGAATTGTTATATACCAATGGATGGAGAGGTTATATTGAGCATGGTTGGTGACATTGACGACAACACGATCTCCCTCTCGGGCATAGATTGTAGGCCCAGGGAACCTCCCGTTGACGGTAACAATTGGTTTAGGGTGAGACAGTCTGCTCACATTCTTCACCACAACCTGATCAGTTTTATAGGGAGGGTTAGCATCCACAATTAATTGAAATAGATGGGACTTTCCCCCCCAAAAAAAGGCATCGATCCACTCACATCGAATTGGTACTTCTTAATGGCAGCTTCAGCTGCAAATGAAGATATCATTGTAACAACAGAAGCAAACAGGAGGCATGAAAATAAAGAAAAGGCCATTTTCTTGCCTCAGGAGTAGATAAAGTTGAATGTTTGTGTTCATGAGATTAGAGGACAAACTGATTCTTCTTATATACGTGCTGTACATTAGTTTGTTAGTATTGGTGAGCTTGCACTTTTGTTGAATGTGCAAGGGTTGCATACTGATGCTTGGAAGCAAACGTGGATTGAGACATTAATTCTAGGGGAGAATATAATAATATTTATTAACCATGGAAGAAAGAATGTACTTGAAAGGCATGTTAGGCTAAGCTTAACAAGCATGAGGAGGGGCTTTTTCTTTAAGATGAAGGAAAAGTTTATCGGTACTCATAAACACCATTATTCATTTCATATTAATTGAGAATTAATGTACCCTTTTCCTCAACAACAACCACCGCGGAGTCTGTATAAGAGCAGAGGGGAAGTTTTTTGGGTAGTTGTTGATAGGTCACTTACTGACCTACCCCTTAGCAGTTGTTTGTATATAAAGTCTGTTTCATTCAACATTTGCATAGATCATGCAAAGTTTTTGGTTAATTACAGGGAACCTGCACTTGTCGTCATTAGTTTTTACCATGTCGATCCTACAAAGAATCATGTCAGCAATTTCGCAGATTGACTGAGATCTAAGCAGCTTCTTCACATCATTAGTTTTTACCATAACTTTTTTTCTTTTACTTTGTCGTCATTAGTCACAGAAAAAACTTTCTTTCTTGTACCACTTCGCTGTGCACGCCTCACTTTGAACATTCACTTGTAAAGAACATTCAGGCAAACTCAAGCAACAAGAGAAACATATCTCACAAAGTAAAATTTTCTAGTCTAATATTGTGACTCGTACACAACAACAAATGGATCTTCTACCTTCAAAGAAATTTAATAGAAGAAAACGAATCGCCATTACTGAGGATTACTTGTTAGTCCATAGCTAGCTAAAAATGCCTGGAAAAAATATCTTATAATTTATTTTAGGAGATCTAATCCATTCTTGATCCTTTGGACCGATGATAGCTGATATATTTAAGAAGGGCGCAGCCTCAGATTTCGAAAGCTTATGAGACCATTTGACTCTTCTTGTGACATTTGCGCCGTGTCCATAGCACTTTCGCTGCCCATAATATGTTGTCCTGTGTATGTTAGAAAAAATTAGTAATAAATGAACAATTTTCGCTCGAAAAGAAAATTTCAAAATGTGACATATGTTAACATAATCTTCTTGCACAGTTTCAGATTAAAGATGAGCAAACGATCTTTCCATCTAAAGATCGTAATGATGGTTCCTGGAGCTCGTCAATATGTACATATATCTAGCTTTGATTTCTGAACACAACTTTTCAGGTAAGACTTCTCATATCTGTTGAATATAGGCAGTCCGCAAATTCAGGTTGCATTATAATCCTATCCCATATATGCAGGTTAAATAATATTCTCATACATGTTTCTAACAAAACCTAGCTAATTTGATATTCTGGATGGAAGTACATAGTTCACTAGGCATTTAAAGAAAATGATTTTCAAGATAACACACCTTCCAACTCAAGATGCATGATAGCTACGCATAAAGATTGTAGTGAGCATAAATTAATACCATTTCCTAGGAGGTACACCGGGCCAGTCCCTCCAACCTTCTGGCAGAACTACACTGCTCATGTAGCTATACGCAAACACCACTCTCGAGTAAGACCCCCACGGCCTTCCCAAAATTGCTCTTCCACCTTTAGTTCCGGTGATTTTACAGTGTCTGAAGATGAAGTAAGTATCTTCTGTCGGCATCTTTCTCCTATGTGCTGTAATTGCTCCTCCATACGTTGAGGTTGAGTGCAGGGCGCAGTTCTACGTTGACAACCATAAAATTTTAAAAATTATTCTTTCAATTAATAGTCCAGTCAAAAATATCAAACGAGACTAACTCGTGCATGCATACCTGAAAGAGAGACTTGCCATTTCCACAGATGAAATCGGTGGCTCCTTCAATGTAGCATTTCCAGTAATAATGCTTTCCAGAGTCGTCAAGGACTGTGTCCTGGATTCCAAGGAATCTGCAGCTGAAAAAGGCGACTCTATCGCCACTTACTCTCACCGCAATTGCTCCTTCTCTTGTTAAATTATATTCATTCTGCAATTTTTTTTTTTTGTATTAGCACTTAATTGACGAAATAAAAACACCCAAAGTTATTAATAAGTAGATCGAGCTAGTCAGGGACACATATATGTACATAGACAAGTTTTGCACTTTGTTATGCACACTCTCGATATAGCTAGGAAATATCTCTAGTCACCCAATATCATTTGCATGCCTAGAGTAGAGAGAACAGTCGAGCATTTAACATCGATCAATACCTAATAAAAGTTGCAACAAGATAACTGCTTTCATTTACTTGTTTCACGCATGAGCTGGGCAAGTTAGTGAGTAGGAGGAATTAATTTAGTACCTGAACTGTAAGTTGTTTTACCACAACATCTGACGCTTGTATGAAGAGAGTTGTCTTGTCTGCAGCTTTCCAACGCCCGTCCCATCTTATGATGGTTGACTTCGTATGTTCGCCTTTCAAAGTTATGAATGGTTTGTCCTCCGGAATAACAACATTCTCTCTGAAAGATTCATAAGTTAATGTAAGATGTACGATACGAGACAGAATTAACAGGCCGGGAAGACACAATTTTCTTTAATAAAGAAGCTAAAAGTGGATTATATATGCTCAATTAGTGCATCACACAAAATTAAGATGCATCTAACATCAGCATCGTATAAGAATCAATACATAATTCTAAGATAATAACGAGGAGGAAAATATGTTGCATAATAAACTTCCTCATCTTTCATCGATTCTTTTTTCCAATTAATATTTGGTGAAGGTATATATATCCATCTAATTCAATTTGAAGGAGCAAAATAGATATAGAGGGGGGGCATGCATACTCGTAAACTCCAGGTTTAATGGAAATGAGGACATGTACTGAGTTGTTCGAAGGCACAACGTCGATGGCGTCTTGAATCTTCATGAAGTTTCCACGTCCTAATTTATCGACCGTGATAAGCACACCGGTAGAAGATTTCAACGATCCAGCTGTGATCATGAATGAAGCCATGGCCAATGCAACCATGAAACTACTGCAAAATAATATTGTGGATGCCATTAATTAAGAAAGTAGGAATTGCTAGCGCAAGCCAGAGTGAGGGATCATAAACTCTGAAAGTATATGCATGCTGCAGTTATTTATTATCTGGCAGTAGCCAAGTAATTTGGATAGAGTCAAATTAGTGGCGGGTAATTTGGTAGAAAGTGTATTTAACAGATTCAGGTGGAATGGAGCAGGAAATATTCTGCCTTATCAATATTACATGAGGTTAATCTTAATTTGTGATCCGCGCTGATGAATAATATAGTACCGTCATCCTTGTAGTCTTGATTTCAAAATCCCAAGAATATTATGGAGGAATCAATACTCTTTATTGAAAGAAAAGAAAAAAAAAAAGCTAAATAGAGATATATATATACATACACATATTTTCAATATACTCTTCTTGTTTAGTGAAACGATGAGGGTGTTTGTCACACTGCTGCTGATCAGTTCTTTTATGTTTGACATTATGCCCCCAAAATATACACCCAGAATATCACACCCAGAATCTTAATTTTCAGTTGTTTTAAATGAGACCATCTACCTGTCCATCAAAGAAAATTAAAAAAAAAAAAAAACAATGATCATCTACCTCGTACTGACTACAGTATTACAACTAGTTTTGCCCCCTCAATGAGAATTTTATTGTATCTATTATAATTTCTTATAGAGTTATAGAGTAAAAACTATATTGTAACATTCTAATATTATAATTTGAAATTTTGAATAGTTGTTAAGCTAAATAGTAAATTAATTTATAAAATAAAAATTTGATTAAAACCCAATAAAATAATGTGGCATTTTTTTTTCTTCTGATCCAATAATTTTTTAGATGATATATATGTCGCGTCACTTTATGTTAGATGAGAGTAATTTCATATGAAAGGGTGAATGTCTTTTAACGGTGTCTGATAATCTTGAATGGTCTAAAACCTTCTAGTTGATAATTTTCAACTAAACCATCTACATTAATCTTGTAAGAATCATCAGGCTCAGACCACAGTGGAAGTAAGCATTTTATTAGAGCACACCTGCATGGCAGAAGAATGTTCTGAGTAGCTTATGATCATGAGGAGAATAGGAAGGCGCGCAGTGTTGGAAATCGTAATATTGTTCCCTTTGTGATTCAGAACACTATATTTGTATAGGAGATTTTCTAATAAAATTTGTAATTTAATGATTCAGAATAAGTGGATGCAGAAGTGGAATTCATGCAATCTCATGACTCTCACGGTGCTCTCGTTGAAATCATAAACAAGAGAAGCCTATGTTGGATAGGGAATTCCTAATCTATTTTGGTAACATGAGGTTATTAGGATTCCTAATCTATTTTGGTAATAGGTTATTA